CGTTTCGTCAACTAAAATACTCGCTCGTCAACGAAAATATTGAGGTTACCGGTTCAAAATTAAACCGTTTTTATAAACCAATGTATATCTACTGCAACAATTAATCGTTTTAAATAACACATTAATGCGCGAGAAATTACAGACGACATTATTATAAAGTAGGTATAATAAACTTATGAATTAATGCGAATAAACGAAATTGAAAGCTAAAGTGATTAAACCCCCAATATTTTACATAGTATAAATATTTTTTTTAATCATTATTCACATTTACTTATTGTACCATTTTTGTATAGATTGTAAATTTTCATAAATAAACGACATTTAAAAAAAAAAAAAGTATACATATTTATTATATACCTTGGATTATTATTTATTACGAGTATGTACCTTTATTAATATTATATACTCTTTAATATCTCGTTCTTACACAATACGATTTTACTTCGTTGAATATATTATATTAAATATACCTTTATAGTTTTATACTACTCGATATGTAATATTGTAATGTATTCTATACCTATATTACAATATGTTTATTGTATGTATAATGTATATACGTTTACACAATACATCCGTGATCATATTTTGTTTTAAATTCTTATAGTATCATCTGTATAGTAGTGTTTCTTTAATAATTTTTTTATATTTTTTATTAAATAAAGTTTTGCTGACGTATGTCATCTTAACCTATTGTTGATTCTTTAATAATAAATATGATGTTTTTGCTTAGTTTATTACTCGAGTAAGTGTATATCTTTATGAGTGATATTTTCAATATTTTCTTCACCCTCTCGTTTTTATACTTTTTAAATATTATTCCGTGCGATGCTCAAAACTAGCTTCTGTAGTTGATATTTTTTGGTATAAACATCCTTCATTTTCACTGAAATCGTGAGTCAGCTGTACGCTTTACGTCTAATTATGCCTATATATTCACTCGACCCAGTTTCGTTGAAATGTCGAAGTTTGCTTTGAATGCACACACATTTAAACCATTGAATTCTCAAAAAACATTCATATTTGAATTATTGCTGAAGTTTTTATTTTTCTAATACACTGCACTGCAGTATAATATATAACTGTAGTTGTGGGTAAATGAAATTGAAAAAAAATGTTTATCAGCTAAACCAATCGTGGGTTCAGTATCGTGTCCGATCTGAAAAAAAGCCCTTTTCATCGAGACCCCCACTATTAAAATGCGATTATAGTGGCGCCTGTTTTTCGCGACGTCTACATACATATACCACCCCTAAATACAATAGTCCACCCTTCATAAACTTACCCCCTTCTCAGTGTAATGACTGCGGCGTGTACGGATTTTACGAGTACATTGGCTTTTTCCAATTGCTTATTATGTTGAACCACGCGCTCCCTGTTGTACATGAAATGCAAATATATATACAGTGTATGTATTATGTACAGTACATATTATATATTGTATACATGTATGTTTAATGTATATACAGAGTGATTCTTTTAACAAAGACCTCTAATTATTTCAAAAATTATATTATGATAAACTCTTAAAATATTGAATTATTAACATAATTTATAATTGTATTATATACTAATCGCAGTTTATTTGTAAGTGAAACCATTATTATTACATGAACATTTGATTTAAAGTGAGTTTAGATCTGCAATACGTTTAAAATTTTAAAAAAGTGAATATTTTTTTGGAATTACTTTGGTTCGCTAGCTGTCGAAAGTATCATACTGTATAAAATGTATATATATATAACCAGGTGAAGCGCGACGAGGACGTAATTTGTCATAGGGACTTCCAAACGAAATATATATAATATCAACAACCGTTACGAGCTATGACAATATATACAATTCGTTCTTGGCGTCGTATTATATTATTATACTTATTAGTTATTGCTATTATTATATACTTCTTATGTAAGCATTCCCAATTTCCCGAGCGCGACACAATGAGAAGACGTAGTGTATACGTGCCCGATTTTCTCTTCCTTTACGATTATTACGGGATTCCATTTAGATTTCAATGCATTGTCGGCGTTTCACGTCCGAACGGCCGGCCGTGAACGCAAAAACTTTCAGATAACAAATCAAAAATGTATATAACGTACGCGCTTTAAGAACTCCATAATATAGTATTGTATAATAAATAATAACATGATGTACGAGAATGTATAATATATCGATCCATACGCCATTTGTCACGCGCCGAAGGAATTTAATTTCAAGAATCGTTGGGAAGCATTATTTTTATTTACAGCGCGGGACATAAATATTATATAATACTCATATTTTAATTGCCACGTTTACGACTGCCATCATCGGATCACCTAACTTTTTACTAAAATCATCTCGTCATCAGACATCAGACAAAAAACAACGTTTTTAATATTTATATACTCACCAATTGTCGATGTAAACTGTGTATAGTGTACCTATATTGTCCGTACTCCATACGCAATCGTTTTTACTGTTTCAACATCTCGGTATATAAATCGCCTTTTTTTAGGTACAATTCTTGACTATATGCGAAGTACCGAAAAGGTAAAAAAAATCTTTATATCGCTCCTCGTCATACATACACAAGCTGCAAAACGGTTTGACGTGTATTGCTTGCGTATAAAATATAAAAGAAAGTTGTCATGATTGAAACATATTTTAAATCCCGTAAATCATTTAACGGTACCATAGCAAAATCATGCGACCAGAACGACTAATACCCAATGTATCTATATAATATATATCTATACTCTTCGGTTACAGATGGAAACTAACTGTTCGTTCCTTTTTTTTTTTGATTGAGATTGAAATTTTTTTGTTTCCGTAAATATTCTAATCTGTGTCAGATTCTTCACATAGCGTCATACGCGAGACCACTAGGTAAATAACGTACGAAACATTAAATAACGTATGTGTGAGTACTATTACGAGTGTTACGTAGTTCTCTGTTGGTTTTCTTATTATACTGCTGTAAAGTGTATGATGTGCATAATGTGTTTATTATACCTATGCATATTCCAGAACAGCATAGGCACATTACATTGTACAACACGTGTCGTACATGCAGAATGATCCATTTAAATGACCACTAATGTTTAAGTCAATTACAATAAATGGCAATCGATATTTTGTTATTTACTTACCTGAAACGGGGTACCTACTACCTATATACTTAAAAATGTTGATGCTTGTATTCATCATTTATCAACATAATACGTACTTATATCACTGCAAATATGGAATAAATATTTTTGATTATAACTATTCCAAGTTAGATGAGAGGAGTGTAATGGGTGTAAGAGGTACAAACCCATCATAAGTTGTGGTCCACTACTTCGTGTTACAAAATGGATTATCCCGCTTATATACCTGCTACAGTGCGTGTAGGCTGTACAATGTACATATTATCTCTGTAAAGGTATATTATACATCCGACGACCGTCTCTATACTAATATACGCGCGTCTGTGTGTCCGAATCTGTTCAAGTTTAAATTAAATGCACCATAATGCACGCGTGCTGCATCTACAGCTCATGCATTAATCATTTTACGTGTCGGCGTATATTACGCTTGCAATCGTACTCGCCGTTGTTTCCTTCACGACGTCTGCCAAGTACGTATATAATATATTTTTCTCAGAACGAAAAAAAAACTCAATTGCGCTATTATAGTACAACTTACATGAGGCTGTATGTATTGCTTATATAGACAAGCTTATCTTTCGGAGGCGGCAGCGGGAGGAAAACGAGATGACGGGCTCGGCAAACAATATCATACAAAAATAATGTACGAGAACGCGTTTATGGCCACTAGCCAATTTGGAAACAGACGTCCATCGGCTTTCTCTGCGTCCCGCACAAGTCGGTTATTGTTTGATTTTTTGGCCTTACGCACAATCTGCAGCACAAACAATAAAAAAGTGTCTAGTCGTCTCGTGGAACATTGCATATTATATTATACCTACGAGAAAGAAAGCTGTTTATTTATTTAAATTTTAACGGTTGATGAATCGTAGTGCTCTCTTTCGTTTTGTTTTTTTATCTCCGATGATTTATGATATTTTGACGATTTCGTTGTTATTCAAACCTCATGCACAGGTGTTTTTTTATAGCACCTATACTGCAAAGTGTGTGTGCGTGTGTGTGTGTGACGGCTTTTATTCTTCGATTGGCGCCGAAGACAATAGTTGTAGAAAAAACGATTGTGGGCTTCATCTAACAATTTCATGTATACTCTTTGATTGTACTGCTGTTATGTTTGGTTGTTAAATAAAAGAAAGCACTTACCATATAATATGCTAAATGTGAAGAACCTTGCGTATAAGAATATTGCAGCGTGACACGATACATGTTACCTATATTATATTCTATATAGAATATAACCATATATACCTTTGGGACAGAATTTAAAATAATAATTGTACAAATATGTTTGTATGTGTTTATGTGAAACTCGAGCACCGAGAACAAACCTCTCGAAATGGCAAACTGTATTAAATCTTGAGAAACGGCCAAACACTATTGAAACGTTTGCACTTAGCAGTCGTTTTGAAACTGTCAAAACTCGATCTCGATTGTTATTGTTGTCGTTTTTGTAATAATAACGTTACAGGTGTAGTATTCCATAGGTACTAGGTACCTTAACGATTATTTATTTGTCGAGTGCAAACTCTTTTGGAAATTATTTTTCTGATGTTGACACATTATAAAATAAATTATCGTTAAATGTTTATAATTTATTATATATGTACCTATTCATTTTTAATGTTTTTATAGTATATCATATTATTCATATTAAATTGAAAAGCGACCATAACCTAGTATACATAAAACCTATGTTGAATTTTATTTTACTTTTAGCATTTGAACTGCCTAGTTGTTTTTATGGTGGGTGGAAATATAGTTCATATTCTTACCTTGAAATATATATTTTTAACAATTGTCATTTATAGATTTTAAACTTTATAAACATTAGTAATTGATATTAATTGACATATAATTTTATTCTAGGTCGGCTCTTCAATCCTTACATCGGGTGAGCGCTCAAGCCCGTGAACACAACTTTTTCGAAGGTGGCCTTACCCACGATTGGATAACGCATTACGAGAAACAAATCTCTTCCGACCAGTCATGTTTGAACGAATGGAACGCTATGGATTCAATTGAGTCGCGTCGTCCTCCGTCACCCGACTCATTGAGGACAAAGTAAGTCCATTCGTCTAAATTTCAAACTCTAAACAATAATAACAATACCTAATGCTTTCGAGTACCTACGTACACATTAATTTATGTACATTATATTTAACTGTGGTTATTTATAGACCTAGCGAACGCGAAGAAACTGAACGCGTGATACGCAGTGCCCTGAAAGAAATCATGATGAGCGTAGACCTGGACGAAGTGACGTCCAAGTTCATTAGGGGCCGTTTGGAAGAAACGCTAGACATGGATCTGGGTGAATACAAACCGTTCATCGACCAAGAGATGCTCACCGTGTTGGGTCAGATGGATGCGGCCACGCAAATATTCCCTCACGTTTACCTTGGTTCCGAGTGGAATGCGTCAAACCTTGACGAACTAAGCCGAAATGGGTATATAAACACAGTACTGATAAAAACAATACCCGTAGTATACTATGATATCGAATCACCTACATAAACTATAATACCAAGAGACATATTATATAGCGTGTAAATATTTTCTTATATCGAAAGTGAATCACGAGTTCGAATAAAAAGTATTTTAAGGTCATATTATATTCCGATATTCCAATCATAATATTATAATAATTGAAGTAAGTCAAATTCAAATGTAAAATACACTAAGCACATACTGGTTATTTTTCAAAGTCAGAGAAATTAATGAAAATAATTAACTAATTAGAGTACAGGTAATTCAAAATTCAGAACTTTGAGTCATAAGTTAATATTAAGCGAACAAAACATTTAACTCTAAAAGCTTAAAATTAATATGATTAAAAATAAGTTTCCAAATTAATTTTTTTATATTACTGCCGTTCGGGTCACAAATATATCAAAATATTTGCGAATGATTGAAGTGATCGGACGGCATGGGGGGCTACGTTTCAAGTTCTAAAAACTGGTTTTCATCTTATTTTCATTATTATGGCGAAGGTTTGGAGAAGATTGGACAAAGTAGAGGGAACTTCAAACTCGTCACAAATAGTTTCAATTGTTTAAATAATAATAATAACTGAACGTTTTGTTAAAAATGTACCCTTTACGCTATTCGCTTTAGTGGTCTAAGCCAGAGGTTGGCACCCTCAGCTCTCATATCAATTTTATTTAACCCACCAGTTAAATTTATAATTTGTATAAAAGTAGACATTATGTGTAAGACTACACTAAAAACCACGAACTAAGATAGTATGGTTCGGAAATAGTGTGTTAAAATGTTGTTTGTTTGCTTGTTTTTTAAGATACCTTATTAAATTAATAACCCTAGCAGTAACGAACCTAAATAAACTAAATTTTATATGACTGTTCATTTTTGTTTAAAATAGAATAAGGTACTTATAAAATTTGTGGTCCATGAAAAATTTGTATTTATTTTTTGGCCCATGACGCCAAAAGTTGACTCCATGCAGTTGAAGCAGTTGCACGTTTTCGATTAATCAATATTATTCATTAGCTTATTTTTATTTAAAACCATTGTACCTATACAATACAATTAAATAGTTAATTTAAAAAATTAAGTTAGTTAGTCTTAAGAATTATTTTTAAAGTTCACTGAAAAAACTAATTTATTACAATATATACTTTAATTACCTAGTTAAGTTATTAAATTTATCATAAAATAAGCTAAACTTGTTGTGATAAAAAGTTTCAAAAAATTAACTTTTTAACTAATTTAACTAGTTCATTATTTGATACTTACCTTTTTTGTTTTGATTTTAAACTCGTTTTCAACATACAATTTAATATACAACGTATACAACGATTTTTTTTAAATATATTCTAACATTTCATATTATTCAAACACATGATATTTTGAACACCTAGCAAATGTCGCCCACCATCACATCTCACTTGTATATGTATTGCATATACATACATTATATTTCGCATTTATTTTTCAGTGTACGACACATACTGAATGTGACAAGGGAAATCGACAATTTCTTCCCTGGCTCGTTCAACTATCTCAACGTTAGGGTGTACGACGATGATAAGACTGATCTATTAAAGCACTGGGATAACACCTATAAATACATCACAAAAGCCGAGTATGTGGACTGTAGAACTCGCACTCATTTATAATATCAATGTCGTTGTGCTCAACGTGTGTTTTATTTTTTCAGACAAGAAGGCTCTAAAGTCTTGGTACATTGCAAGATGGGCGTCAGTCGGTCTGCGAGCGTCGTAATAGCGTACGCTATGAAGGCTTACAACTGGTCTTTCAAAAAAGCACTAGACCACGTTCAGTCTAAACGCACCTGCATTAAACCCAACAAACATTTCATCCTACAGCTAGAAACTTATCAAGGAATATTGGCCGCGATGAAAAACCGCGAGAAATTGCAGCGCTCCAAATCCGAGACAAACTTGGTGGCCACGTCAGGCCTCATCACTCCTCCTAATTCGCCGAAAAAGGCTCTGGACACCCCGAGGTCACAGAGTGAAGGTGACAAAGACGCTACGCCACCGGATCGGTTAGACAAAGAAAACGAACCCGTCGTGCCTAGTCCGCCAACACGATTGATGCCGCCAAAGTTATTAGATATCAGTGGATACGATTTGATGAAATGCGGCGGCAGACCAAAGTCATGGTCACCAGAAAATAATTTTGCCACTGACATTTTAACCAGCTCTAGTGAGTTAATATATTTTTGAATCGACTGCGTTTGATAAAATAAACCGTTTCCTCCGTTATTCCAATAGAATAAGTGTTCAATTATGGCTTTTAAATAATGGAAAAATGAAACCAATATACGTACATATATATATATTTTAATTAAATAGCTTAATACTCTTTACCTATACACCATTCAGTTCAACTTTGATAAAAACATATTTAATGTGTGTAAAATTATATTTGTATGGCCTTTGTGGCTCGAAATTACACTTAAACGGATTCGAAATAATCACAACTTATGTTGTGCGTATATATTCTTTTGTTCTACTTTTAATATCAATGTCAAAAGATTGCATTCTTCATTAAATATCATGGTATGTTCCTAGACCATTAAATAATTTCCTCTCTTGGATAGAATTACTGCATTATCATCGTCTTTAAAACACTTGTGAGGATTATTTGTATTAAGAAAAACAAACGAAGGTTATTAAGTCATTATGTACAATTTATTGGTGTCTAAAAAAAATTGAACGCATCCCATTAAAAAAAAAGGAGGTGCATATTTGTAAAAATAACAAATGTATGTGTATATTTTCAGCGTTATTGTCGCAATCGTTGGAGAAAATTAACACGGATAAAATTGCTGTAGAAGTGGAAGTAGAAGTTCCGAATATTCCACCTGCACCACCGTTGCCTCCATTCGAAGCCCATAAGTACAACGTCAGTGTGTTCATGCCTTGCGGAAACGGCCTAAGATCGTACAGCGTGTCGCAGAACAAAATCGTTCAGTTACAACCAGCTACACCACCAGCCCCCAGGTAACGTATATTATTATACCCACCATGTTCGATAACAACGATTAATAGTAAATATTTCGTTAGAGATCTACTATGACAGCACGAGTGAATCTATCTTGCAATACACAAAGTATAATTTATTTCGTTTAAATGAGTGTTAAAGTATACAATATCCGTTATTATATTAATTTAACGGTACCTGAGTGCGTGGTGAATTTACTATACAATCCTTGAGGGGGAAAATATTATACTATACAGATTGATACACCAATAGTTATTCAAAATCAGATTTTTGGAATTTTTAAATATACCTAGTTGCTTGCTTAGATCTTATTTTAAAATTATTAAAATTATTTGTACTACTTAAGAAGTGTTATGTAGAGAGATTCAAACTTCCGTTTTTCAAATAACTACTCGTTTGAATTTTAAATTTCAGTTAACATCAACATTTTCAAAAAAATTATCCACTAAATAATTTAGAGTAAAATGGGGGGGAGGGGGTTCTCATTTGAATAACAAAAATTTGTATGACCACTGGCCACTCCTTAAGTAGTACAAAAAAATTCAAGAATTTGAAAAAATTATGTTTTGGGAATAGTTAAAAATTAAAAATTTATTATTGAAGAAAAAATTCTGCAGGTTGATCAGTCCCTGTTTATTTTTACTTACAATGTATTAGTGATAACTATCATCATTTTTTTTTTTTTCATAATGATAGTCAAAATATCATAATTTTTTTAATAAAAGTATTATACTTGGTATACTATGATTTATAATTACTATGTGAAATGCAGATAAATAGTTCAAACTTGATATATACATCACGCATAACATTGTGTTACAGACCATCGTCGGTTAAGCTGCGAGTCAACGAACTGGAATCTAGCGGCATCGTCGGCAGTTGCAGCGGTAGCGTCACTAGCAATAGCGCCGGTGGTTGCACGTCTAGTCCGGACCGCAAATCGACGACGGACCCGGGCCGGAATCTGGTGCTGAATCTCACCACCCAGTTTGAGGGCGTGGTGGCCTCGTCGAGCGCGGCCAATTCGCCTTCCGACGACAACGTTCTAGTCAACAAACCCTTGTCCGCCGAATCGCCGAAGTTTAGCCGGATAGCCGTCCACAGACCTCCCTCGATCGCTGTTTGCACCCCACAGAAACGGGACGGTGGTGATCTGTTTTCGTCCCGACTGGACAGGGTGTTTGAACGTGAGGAGCGCAAACAGTGTCGCGAACCATTCGACCATCAAACGGCGGCGGTGGCTGTAAGCGCTGGTGACGTGTCCCGACAAAACTCGTGGAGCTCCTACGACAGTGCCGTCGTGTTGCGTGACGTCATATCCAGACACAGTTCTTGGGGCTCTTGCGACACACGTACCTTGCCGTCCAGGAACAGTTCGTGGGGCTCGTACGACGTCCGGCCGACCATGCAGTACGTCAGCGAACGCGGCGAAAGGCCGTCCGTAATCTCCACTGCCGCCGCAGACGTCGCTAAAACGGCCGCGGACGAACCTTGTTACCGGCCGGCCAAGAGGCCAAAGCAAAAGGACCAGCAAAAACTGCTGCAGCCCAATTGCTATTCGAGCTCGCCGACACTGGGCCTGCAAGGAGCTTCGCACAAGCTAGCCAACCGGGCGACTGCGTCTCAGCCGAACATATCTGGTCTTGGCAACACCCCCGTCACCGCTGCGTGCAACAACAAGCACAGCAGTCTGGTAAGGAGTTTGAAAGAAGAGTTTGAGGCCAAGGCGGGCGACGCCGTAGAAAAACCGTCGAGGAAGAACAGCGGTGGCGGAGGCGGTGGGAGTTCGACCGAGGACGACGGCACCGGCACTGAACACGTCAAGAGCCTGCCCACATCTCCGGTCAGCGAACACCCAAAGGTCACACAACGGCCCAGCCCGGCCGCGTCCATGGAGGACATATCGGTCAGGAAACTTGTGGGCAAGTACGAAAACGGCAGGGCCCGTTCCAAGACGTTCGTGCAGGACAGTGGTTGTCCGCGCAATCCGCTCTACCAGCAGCCGCCGGTGCCGCCGCGAGTGTCCAGCCTGGACGTGTCCGCGATCAGGCCACGAAAGTTCGAGTGCAATCCCGTCGTCAAAACTGTTGTGTTGCCCATACAACAGAGCGACATCCGCGCATCCGTCAACCGGGCCGCCAACAACAAATTACAACAGGGCAAATCGCATCCGCTGACAAAATTGTCGTTCAAACAGCTGAAAGTGAACAGTACTGTTTACAACAGCATGTAAAGGGTACAAACAGATCGGCGGATAACCGTAAAATGCATAACGCGTCTGAGTCGTAATATTATTATTATAACGTACTATATGCGTGTTGACTCTTAATGAATGTGTTTTTTTTTTTGTTTTTTATTTTGTACTTTTGAATTCTGTTACGTTATAATTCTGTTTTTACTTTGACAATTCATCTGTGTAACGTTTTATTTTTCATTTTTTTTTTTCTATCCGTTTACTGCAGTATAATATAATAGTGAACACTTCTCGTCGTCTCTCCTCCCACCCACTCCCACCCCACCCCCTTCGACTTTTGTTTTTGTTTTCT